GCAATTTGGGGGGAACTGTCTTGCCCAGGGACACAACGACATGCTGACTGCAGTGGGGTTTGAACCTGTGACCCCCTGATCCGAACACCAACGCACAACCCACTGCACCACACGCCTCCCCATTTACATGCAGTAAAAACTATATAACACACTACAGGAAAGGGAAAACCATAATAGGGCCTCTTTAAGATGAATTCAGGGTCAGGGTGTTGTGCATGCTGGCTCACTGTCCTAGCCTACAGGGAAACTTGATGGGAATGACCCATCTTTTAGGTGCTTGCCCTAAAATATATTTAACATTGATTGACAGCCACAGAGTTATCCATACCTGTAACGAATACAAGGTTCAGTCACTTTTTCCTCCAGATGGAACTCTGCCCAGGGGTCGGGCATAGCTTTGGCCTTTTCAATGGCATGTTTCCATCTAGCCTGTAGCAATAAATAAACAAAATGTATGAGCTGCTAGTATTTGTTTTTAGGCAAAAACAATGTATAAATGGGAAGATTAGATGGTAAGCCATTCAATGCGAAGAAATGTGAAATGTAATCTGCACAAGAAAAGGCAGTTCAAATCCTTTCTTGTGCTCTTCGTGCCCTGTATTGTGCAGACTAATTGGGAACATATTAATTTCATAGGTTGCACTAATAATGCTCAGTAAATCAGGTTAAGGCGAAGGAAGCCTACGAAGCAGAGCATTTATCAACAAAACTGGGAGACGCCTATGTAAACTAAAGCCTGCTCACACTTTAGTTTTTGTTGCAAACCAGGAGGAAAGAAAGGTTAAGGAAGAAAGGAAAAATATCTTCAGTAAATCATTTAAATGAAAATTATTTGAATTAATAATGAATACATATGTTTTATGGGTATATTCATTGGTGGTCCACCAAGTTGTAATATTCCATAATGACCTAAATAATTTACTGCTACCTTAATACCAATGCGTACCATGTGATGTTTCACAGCGATCCAAATGCCATTATCAAAAAATAACTTTCTTGGTAAGACCCATGAATCAAGCATTCCTGGTAATCCAAACCTGCACCAGTAACCCAAACCCAGAACTGCACGGCAGTCCTGGTCCCTGTGCAGCCCATGTTTATATTTAGAGCCAAGGATTTAAATGAATGTGAAGGGTTGGAGTGTCTCGTCTGTTTGTGACGAAGAGCAGATGTCAGAACTCATGTTCAACTGTAAGAGTGTTCAAGTTCGCCATCCTGTCAGATATACTACACAAGACAAGGTCACAAGACTTAAGGGTCATCTGGTGCAGCCAGTTTTCTAAAAATAGTTTTTGAAGTATAGTTAATTTGTTTTTTTTTAGTCATTTTCTGAAACCTTTTTTTTAATGCTTATAATTAAAAGAGATATCTAAAAGAAAAATCGGAAAGAAAAATGTGCACAGTTGGTCGTAAAAATCTGTCATTTTTTCAGGGTATTTCTTTGAAATAACAGTCAAACAGTCCTTGTGTTTGTTAGAGTTAAAGTGGACCTATCATGCTATATTTGAATAATATAATGTAGGACCATACCTATATAAGGCATATTTATACTTTTTCTTTTTCAAAAACAGAAAAAGATCAAAAACAGATCATGCATTTTAGCCATTCCTCATTTCGCTCAATTTAACACCGTCTTTGCATGGGCTGATTCTGTGAGAACAGCACCTCACAGAATCAGCCCATGCAAAGACGGTGTTAAATTGAGCGAAATGAGGAATGGCTAAAATGCATGATCTGTTTTTGATCTTTTTCTGTTNCCCAACCTGTGGGCTGCGGCCCCCTAGTGGTCCGCGAAGGCATTGCAAGTGGGCCTCCAAATTATTATTATTATTTTTTTGTACAGGGTAAAGACACAAACATGGACATAACAAAAACATATAGGAGATGACATTCCCATCTCAGACAACAACAAAACAAAAACAGAAGAACTAAAGATACAGTCAGTAGGATCACTTCAACATTTCACAAACAAAAATAGGTTGACAACCAAATACCACCAAAAACACCATATAGCATATTTATTGTTCCTTTAGTCGCTCTCTTTAGAGCTCATTATTTCCCATCTCATGGCGTGTTGAGCCACCCTTTGATTTTTTTGTGGCAATAATCTTTTCCAAAAGAAATTGTATTTTTAATCTACTCTTCAAACACCTTATATTAAGATTACTCCTTGATTGACTTTTAAAAAATATGTATTTTAGCCATCAGAATAGTTGTATTTATTAACTGTGTCAACCAAATAATTTGCAAAACATTATGATTTATGTGGAAACATTTTCATTAAGATCTTTTTTTATTTTAACCTCTTTTCCTTTCTCTTTCTTGATCCTCCTTAGCAACGGTCATTACAGTCCTTGACAGCGGTCTGTTCTACTGGATTTACAACGTGTCACATGTTCTGAATTGACCAATCAGAACTTTATTTAGCCTCCGTATTGTTTATGGTTGAATGTGGGCCGCGAACAAATGTTTGGTTCTTAAGTGGGCCCTGAGTTGGAAAAGGTTGGGAACCGAGGAAACATACAGATTGAATTTAGAGCTGTATTCAACAGACTGCTGCCCCACATCTCACCTGTCGCTATACTGATTATTTGTAATACATTTTTTGTCTACAGGATTCTGAGAGTGGAGGGGACAGCGGCTGTCCCAGCGAGAGAAGGAGTGATGGTGATCCAAATGACCACGTAGACGGGGTAAACACTTTAATTTCACCTTCATTCGATTTAACTTTAGTGAAAAGACAAAGTCCAGGATTTATGTGTAGTTATGTGTCAGGGAAAATCAGTTTACATACAGATAAAGAATGCAAATATATATTTTTGTGTGTGTCCGGCATATAAAAAATAGACGTTGAACATATTTTCAATGTTTTAGTTTAAATAAAAAAGTTATTTATAGTGTCCGAATAAGATTAGAAGTACAAATATGTTTTACACCTTGTTTTATTATATTTTTAGACACACATACTTTGACATATTTTCGCAAGCAAACTTTATTTATTCATTTCAAACATTATTATAACCTGACAAGTTAGACTTTTCTTATTTCTGTAATTCACAATGTTTCTGTTGTGAACATGACTGAGGCTTTCCTACTGTAGGTTTTATAAATGTATGTTGTATTACCATCCCGTAGGTCCATCATCGCATCCAAAGACATTACTCTGAGTCGGATGACGACAGTGTCAGACGGGTAAACAAACGTAGTGTCAACAGTGTTTACATGTCATAATAATCATCAACATAATCACATAATCCTCTTAACTTTTCTCACCCTTTTTTACTTTCCCCCCTTTTGTTTCTCACACATTAATTCAACAACAGAAGTCTTTCCTCACCTTCCTCTATGTTTAGCTCCTCTTAATCTGTGTGTTCCCTCATTAGAGGAAGATGGTAGCTTCTCCAAGAGTCTCTTCAAACTTACATTTTGACAATGCTGACGACGACTCGGTGATTATCTGCATGGAGGCTCGTTCAGACGTTTCACTGCTTATGGCTTTATCAAGCATGAATCTCTGGCTAAAGGACCAACTTGAAATCTAAATGCACATTATTCCTTACTTGTGGTTCTATTTATCAATCTAGATTGTTTTGGTGTGAGTTAGTGAGTGTTGGGGATCTTACCGTAGATATATCTCATATAAAATGGAAGTAGACGGCACTGGCCTGTGGTGGTCAAAGCAGCTAAAAATACATTTAAAACTCAACAGAAATGTATCTTTTTGTGTTGAAATGATAACCAAAGACCTTGTTGTGATCAGAGACTTTTAGGAACTATTTTATGTCCACCAAAAGAAATCCGGCACCAAACCATGCATGCTTCCGTCTGCATGGTGATACAATTGGTTGGTAGTTTGCTCAAAAATATCATTTCTTTATTTTGGGGCAAACTGTCCCTTTTTGAGATTTTACAAGATTCCTCAAGAAGCCCCTCTTACCAGATCCAATCTAGCTTTATTTTCAGAGTGAAGGAAAAAGCTAAATACAAAGAATTTCAACATGACATTTGGAACCGAATCACCATCTACCTCTGTGTCAGCAGCTCCGCCATCTAGTGTGTGCCCCTGTTCCCATTCGTTACCTGATGTTGTCAGTCACTAAACCCATCAGGGATGTACTCCTCCAGCTCTGTCATTGATCAGAGCAAATATGAACATCTGACTTTTCTGAACGTGTACACTCCTGAGTGTGTGAGCAGTGTGATTTTGTCAGCTTGCACTTGATTTGCCCTCATCATTGACTTGTTTTATGATGTTGTGATCATTCCTGCTCCTCCTGTAAATCTTGACTTTATCTTCTTGTAGATGACAGAGGAGAAGTGGAGCTTCTACCATTCGTCCCGCTCTCACGTCCACCGGTCCTCCTGCGTGGAAACGGAGATGGAGCGACTCGAAGCTCTGATGCAGAAGAAAATAGGCCAGTCCATCCTCGGAAAGGTAACGCATTCATGTTCATTTTTTATTAATTCATATGATATTAGTGGCAGGAAAAAAGGATTTGAATGTACTCACACATGATTGCATCCTATCTAAACTAGACACCTCACACATATACTTTTTAATCATGGCAGTCAAAAAGCAACACATATTAAAGGCCTTGCTATTCTATCTTCATATTTTAAGATCTTCCTGGTTATGTCTCAAAATTATTTAATATTATTAACTTTTTATCCAACTGTTTTTTTAGTTAGCTTGCAACATGCATAGAACATCTTCCAATAAGGAAGAATGTCTGAAATTAGAAGACACAGATTGTTTTTTAGTTAAAACAAACATATGCAGTGAAAAGTGTAGCTGTAAAATGAAACTAAATAAAAATTATATCCTTTTTAAGTAAAAAAACAAACAAACAAAATGCTATTGATATCAGATTAAAAAACATTTAACAACCATATTGAAAAAAAGCTTCATTGTCAAGTGCTCAAGTGGATTCCCAAAAGGTTTTCACAAATCCTACACAATTCTCCAACCATGAATTCTGTATTTATATAAAGCCAGATACACCCGAGACATTATACCTGGCTTTATCAAAGGTTTACTAAAACTAAACCACCTCTGAAATAAACAAAACAATAAGTATCAATTGTCCCTGAAAACTTGGTTGGACTAAAATGAGGTCAGCAGTCGATCAAGAGTCACCAAGGTTCTGTGTGTTCCTGAGCGTGTTTCTGCTCTCTCCCCTCCGCCCAGGTGCACCTGGGGATGGTGTGGTACCATGAAGCGGGTCGGTTCTGTGAGAAGGATGAGCAGTGGGACCAGGACTCGGCCATGATGCACCTGGAGAGAGCGGCGCAGTGCGGGGAGCTGGAGGCCATCGTGGCTCTGGGACAGTGCTGCATGCAGCTGCCGCATCACATCCTGCCAGACATGCAGCTGGAGGTACCTCAGTTTATTTAGACTTGTCTTTTTACAACGTACAAATATGTGTTCTTATAAGTCTGTGTTGTTGGCAGGATAACGCCGGAAACAGGATGAAAGGCTTTAAGTATCTGCTGCTGGCTGCTGAGTCCGGTGACAGGTCTTCTATGATCACAGTGGCCCGAGCCTTTGATTCTGGTATCAATCTTTCAGCTGACAGGTCGGTGAAGCAACCTGTCTGAGTTCAAACTGTCAAAATCTGGACTTGGATTGTGTATGGATTTGTGGGTAAAGACTAACGCAGAACCTGGTCCAACAGTCGTGGTTATACTGCCCCCTAGAGCAGTGGTTCCCAACCTGGGTGTCGTGCCCCCCTTGGGGGGGCGCCAAAGATCGCAGGGGAGGCGCCAGGCCTCAGATGATTTGAGGCCAAATATCCTAATTAGACTTTTTTTTTAATTAGACGCAATACATGATTGCGCAACTTCTAACAGGAGTCATTTGGGAGGGCTCTTGGGAAAAAAGGTTGGGAACCACTGCCCTAGAGGGATGGCTATGTTTAATTTGTATTATCGATGAGAGCAGCGTTTTACCAGAGATGGATAAAGTAGCTGCAACAAGTACACACATCCTTTACTCAAGTGGAAGTACAGATACTCGTGTTTAAAAATACTCTGGTAAAAGTAGAAGTACTGACTAAACTTCTTTACTCAAGTAAAAGTAAAGAAGCATGGGCTTCGAAATGTACTTAAGTAAAAAGTACCCATAACTACCAGCTGTTTTAAAGAGTAACTGACCTCCTTTTTATATTAATGGAACAATAATGTCATGGTTAGCTAATGAATGTTTTAATGCTAAATGACAACGTTTTCGTTGGTCCCTCTTCTTTAGAGAAGACCAGGAAATGATGGATACAAGGATCGTGTTCAAATCAAAAGGCACGCAATGACCCTAAATAATAATGATCTCACCTCCAAACACACATTCAAACTAAAGTAACCAGCCTGTTTTGAAAATGTAAGAAGTATAAAGTACAGGTATTTGTGTTAAAAATGTAAGAAGTAAAAGTAAAAAGTCGTCAGAAAAATAAGTAGTGGAGTAAAGTACTGATACCAGAAAAATGTACTTAAAGGTAGGGTAGGTAATTCACTTCAGAAACACTTTTTGTTATATTCCATGGAATGCTCTTAACATCCCGATAGCAGGGAATATATTAAATGCTTTGACAATAAATCCATAAAAAAACGTCATCTGTGTGAAGCCGTAGTACTGTAAAAAGCACGACCAATCATTTTAGACGGCCCGGCTAAAGTAAGCTGGATGCCT